TTTCTCTGTAATGATGAGTTATTTTTTCTTCCCCAATAACTTTGGTGCTCTTTGTTTGTTTTCTTTTCTTATGTTGCCAAGGCTGGCCTCCAACTGCTGCCCAAGTGATCCTCCTGCCTCTGACTCCCAAATCTCAAGCAGCTGGGACTACCTGCATATACCACCAGGCCTGGTTCTGTTCAGCTTTTGATGGCTATCCTCCTGTCACTTATCTCTAAAATTCAGCAGCTCCAAAGAACTTAGTTAGTCCTAGCACTCTTGTCTTTTCTATATATATTCTCTTTCTCTTTTTTTCAGTATTGGGGATTGTTTTTAGCCAGATTTTTTGTTGCTGTGGCCAAAAAGACCTGAGAAGAACAATTAAAAGAGGAAAATATTATTTTGGGGCTCACAGTTTCAGAGGTCTTAGTCAAAAGGCTGGCCCCATTCCTTGGGGCTGGAGATGAGATAGAACATCATGGGGAAGAGTGTGGTGGAAGAAAGTGGCTTAGGACATAGCACCAAGAAGCTGAGAAAGAGAGAACAAGGACAAAATATAAACCGCAAAGGCACACAATTAGAGACCCACCTCCTCCAGCCACACCCTACTTGCCTGTCAGAGGATTAATGTACTGATTAGGTAAAACCTTTCATAATCCAATCATTTCATCTTTAAACTTTTTTTGCATTGTCTCACACATGAGCTTTTGGGGGACACCTAATATCCAAACCATAACAGTGATAGAACCCAGGACTTCACACACGCCAGGCAAATACTGTACCACTGAGTTATATCCCCTGTCATTATTTTATTTTATGTTATTTTATTTGACAGAGTTTGGCTAGATTGCCCAAGCTGGCCTTGAACTTGAAATCCTCCAAGGTAGCTAGATTTATAGTCATGTCAGGCTTCTGTTTCTTCTCTAATCGTCATTAGATGGCTGCAACTAATTAGACCTCAGCTAATATGTATTTGGGCAATGCTCCAACTCTGAACTACATCCCAGCTCTAAGTCTATGTAGCTAAATAAAGCTTAAATTTGGTGATTTCAAAATTTTATTTCCAGCCCCTATTCCTCCCTTGAAACTCAGCTGCCCTTATAGTGTCTCTTTTTGGATTTCTGAAAAAAATATTTCTTTCTCTCGCTTTCTTTCCCCTCCTTCCTTCCCTCCCTCCCTTTCTTTCTCCTCTATGTCTCCCCATTCACAATACAGACCAGGCACAGGGCTTGGGCTGAGGTGTACAATTGGCATACTCTCATCTTTCTATATAGTTAGTATAAGAACATAGCCTTAGGTAAGTATTAGGAGGCCCCAAAAGATACTTCAAACTTAATATAACTTCTTACAATTATCTAACCATATTTCTCCCATTCTTTCTAGTCTCAGTTAAGATACCAGCATTTACTTGGTCAAGTCTCAATTTTTTTTTTTTTTGGTAGGGGGAGTACCAGGCGTTGAACTCAGGGGCACTCAACCATTGAGCCACATCCCCAACCCTATTTTGTATTTTATTTAGAGACAGGGTCTCACTGAGTTGCTTAACACCTCACCATTGCTGAGGCTGACTTTGAATTCATGATTCTCCTGTCTCAGCTTCCCCAGCTGCTGGGATTGTAGGTGTGTGCCACCATGCTGGGCTCAAGTCTCAATTTTTTAAGTAATTTTTGATCATTCTCTTGTCTTTAGCAGCAAACATCCCATATCTTATCCATTTGCAAGTTCTCTGGTTTCATCTCCAAAATATATCTGTGCTTACACATGTCCCCTCATTCATGCTCCTGTTTTGGTTAAGATCACCATCATTTTCTACTTAGAGCACATTGAAATATATATTCCTTGCCTCTAGTATCTTGTACCCTCCACCAACAAAATAAGCATCAGAGTGGCTAGAGTTATCTTAGAAAAAAAATTGTTTCATTCCTTTGCTTAAAATGAACTTAAAACAACTCCAATACCACAAAGTCTTACATGATCTGTTCCCTGGTTTCCCAAGTTGTCTTGTATCACTATGACCTTTGTCCTGTGTTCAGCAACTCTGGTCCCTTCATTTTCTTTTTCTTCTCCTTCTCCTTCTTCTTCAAGTGTATCAGAGTGAAAGTACCATAAAGGCACAAATTTTTGTATTTTTTCCTTTGGTCTGTTAATTGATGAATCCTAAAGAACCTAATATATGCCTGGCATACAATAAGCACCCAATTAATACTTTTTCAATGGAAAATTGAATGAATTTGTGCACACCATACTACTTTGAAAAAAAAAAAGTCTCATGGCTTTTCCATTTGCTGTTCTCTCAGACTGGAATGTTCTCCAAGATCTTAGCATGACTGGCTACCCCCCCACCCCCCAATCATTTAACTCTCAGCCCACGTTAGTATCTTTTAGAAAGGAGTTGTCTGACCCCCTGTTTGAATTGTCAGCATTCCCAACTTTTTTGTATTTCTTGCTTTATTTTCTTCCCAGAATTTATAATCACCTGGAATAATGATAATTATTATGTGTATTATAACACATTATATCAATTATAATAGAGAAATTATTATTATGTTTATTATGATATATTATTATTATTAGGTACTAGGAATGTAACCCGGGGCACTTTTGCACTGAATTACATCCATAGTCATTTTTATTTTTATTTTGAGACAGGGTCTTGCTAAGTTGCTTAGGGCCAGTTGATGAAGCTGGCTTTGAATTTATAACCCACCTGCCTCAGCCTCCTGAGTTGATGGGATTACAGTGTGCTACTGTGTCTGGCTATCACCTAAAATTATTTATGAATTTTCTTAGGTGGCTCCCCTGGGACTGGAAACTCCATGAGAGCAGGGAGTTAATTTTTTGTTGTTGTTGTTCCCTCTTCTATCCTCATTGTGTAGAACAGTGACTGGTACACAGTACATATATGATAAATATTTTCTGTACACCACAATAAATGGCTTATACTTTGTAAATTTTTTTACCTATATTTTATTTGTTTTTATGTGGTGCTGAGGATTGAACCCAGCGCCTCTCATGAGCCACAACCCCAGCCCTATACTGTGCAAATTTTAAGTAACTATTTTAAAGCCACATAAAAAGCAGATTCCTAAGATTCATTTCAGACAATCTTGAATAAAAACAAGCTGTGGGATGCTGTCTACTTGTAATATTTGTATACTTCTAAGTTTTAGAACATTTCTTTAAGTTCGTGAGGATAACTGGGACACTCTGGTTCAAATAGGCCCACATCTCATGATGAATGTTCTTTTGGTTTCTCCTGTCATTTCTGGTTAGCAGACCTCAGAGACTTCCAATTCTAATGAATCTCAAAAGGAATTCTCCTCAGAGGCCAAGGGTTATAAGGCGTGGGAGCTTTTGTCCAACCTTTGGCATTATATGTCACTCACAACACTAAAAAGAGACCATTTTAACGACTCTCTTAGCCAATATATTCATTCTTAAGGCAAATGACTTCCATGTCCACATGTAAAGAGTGAATAATGAATATCAGTAAAGAGTGAATAATGAATATCACTTCTCACCAAAAATGTTAAAGTTTACCTCATCAAATCCCCTTATATATTTTTTCATTAAATTCAATTAAATTCAGCAAGGTTTATTACTCTTAACCTTTATTTATTTATTTTTTTGGTACTAAGGATTGAACCCAGGGGCACTTAACAGCTGAGCCACACCCCCAGCCCTTTTTATTTTATTTTAAATTTATTTATTTATTCTAATTTGTTATACATGATGGCAGAATGCATTATTTATTTTTATTTTTGAGACAGGGCCTTGCTAAGTTGCTTAAGGCCTCACTAAATTGCTGAGACTGGCCTTGGATTTATGATTCTCCTGCCTCAGTCTCCTGGGATCACAGCCTGCCTCACTGTGCCCAGCTGTCTTTGAATTTTTAAAAACAGAACACTCTCCTCTTCTTTCCACTATTTTCAATTATTTAAACAAATCAGTAAAGAGAACATCAAATGAATTTTAGTTTTTCCCCTTGTAGATATTTTCTGTTCTCAAGTGTCCACTCCCCCCATTTTCTCCTTTTTTTTTTTTTTTTTTTTTTTTTTAGATAATAGTTTAGCCAGCTTGTAGGTTTTATCATCAGCATTCTGTTTAAGTTCTGGGCAGTGTACCAAGGAAAGCACTTTACTCAGTATTTTAAAGACAGATCTCATTTAATCTTCAAAACGTGGATGAGAAAACTATTCCCTGAAAGTACAAAGGTCCAAGGTCTTTGAAATCTAGTTGCCTTCCCTATTGCCAGCGGGTAGTTAGAATTGAGGTTTGTATTCCAAAGCCTGAGCTCCTATCTACTTTGTTGCCCTTTGAGAAGGCAACTTTAAGAGACGATAAAATGTGGAAGTCTGAGGTTGAGAAATGAATGGCTTAAATCATTTGTTTAACCAGAGTTAACTAATGCTTCTCAGTGTTTATGGAACTCAATTTAATTTTCAGAATGGTAAAGGGGAGAGGAGAGATGCAGTGTAGACGTTTTCTGGTTTGACAGGGACTGAGCGCAGATAGGTGCCCAAGGACTGAAAGGTGGATGGGCTGCGCCTGGGTCAGCGGGGCGCACCCAGAAAGACTTAAGGCAGAGGCGTGTCCTGGGCGCGCTGAGCCTGGAAGAGTTGTGGTAGTGTTTGGTTTTCGCCCGCGCTAGGCTGGCAGGCCCCTTGGGATGAAAACTCCTGATGGGGCGGGAAGGCCCTAGCTGACGCCTGTCCCGTCACAGCCCTGGTGTGCTCCCAAGAACTCTGAGCCTCTCGGGCGTGCGGGAATATGGGCTGGGAATCCCCGCGCACAGTCAGTCCTCTTATTGTGGACACACCGCTGGATATTTTCTTCCACGGTGTCCAGGCCCCAGAGGGGGCTTGACCCTGAATGCAAAGAGTCGGGCTTTCTGATTGGCTTAGAGTACAAACGCAGGCTAGCGCCGCCTGAGACCCGCTCTTCGATTGGATTTTACGTGAACAGTAGAGCACGAAATAAAGAGGCCTTCAGTCATTGGGCCATTGTGTGAATCTCCTTTTGGCTTCTCTGCCGACTGAATAAGCGTCTCAGGATCTTCGTCATGACTCTTAAATCTGGGCCTGTCAGTTCGCCCCAGCGTTTCTCGTCTCTAGGCACGGCATGGAGTTTACAGAGTGTAACCAATCATATAACGTCGAGATCAGGTTGCCAGGCAGATTATGCTAATAAGGCCCCGCCTTTTATGCTGCTCCCACTCTGCGGCGGGAAGAACCACCTGGAGGTGGCGGGGGGGTTTGATTTCCATCACCCCTAGGGAGAGAGGATCGGGGACCCGCTGATCTTCCAGCTCCCCTCATCCAACGTCGTGTAAGTACCTAAAGGATTAAGGGAACTGGATAAGCCAGGGTCCAGAGTACCCCATAGTCTGGGAGGGTGTTTCGTCTTTGCTTAGTCCCACCCAAAATGGCGCCCAGCTCTTTCCGCGTCTCAGAGCCCGGCCGGGGCCAACCGACCGCGGACCCGGGTGTGGGGGGGGAATTGATGGTGGTGGGGGGGAGAAATCCCGGCGGCACCGCCCGATGGTACAGTCCAGCCGGGGCTGGGACAAGGCACCTCTCTCGGGGTGGGGGGTCAAACCATCTACACCTTCTAAGGGGAAAAGGGCAAAACCTCCTCCGGGAGGCCCTCCTGGCGCTGCATTCAGCGATGGCTTCAGCGCCTCCTCGCCCCTTCCTTCCCCGCGCTCAGACTCCCCCCTGCGACCCCCGAGTGGCTAGCACGCTCTGCCGGCCGCGCGCACCTCTCCTCCCCTGCCCGCGTTGGTTGGGCCGGGACGGCGGTTGGGCTGCCTGCGCGTTCCGGCAGCGGCGGTTGTGCGGGCGCGCGGGGTGCGGCGGCCTGTCTCCGGCGGCCAGTCTCCATCGGCTGGGCTCCCATGGCCGTCGCGGGGGGTGGTGGCGCGGTCTGGGCTTCGGGGCTGGCTGGCGGGCCCGCGGCGGGCGGGCAGCGGGCGTGCACGGCCGAGGTCTGTAGGATGGGGCCCCAGCTTTGTTTGGCGAGGCCGGGCCGCCCACCTGCCATGGATAGCTGGTCCTCCAACCTTTATTTACCAGTTGGCGTGGCCTGGACTAGGGAAGCCGCTTTCAGTTGTTTGGGACGGCCCTGTGGGACTGTCCTGTGAAAGCCGGGTTCGGGTGGGCAGGTCGGAGGCCAAGGTCGTGCTCCCGGCCTTGCTCCTGACAGCCTGCGCCCACGGAGCAGTGCCAAGGCCGGCGAGGCCCGTCGGTGTTCGGGAGCGGGTTGACCGTCCAGCCGACTGTCAGCTTTTATTAAGTAAAAACTTAAGTGTGTAGCCAGGTATTAGGTTTTAAGTGAAATGGAATAGTCACCGTCTGCCCTCCAGGCACATGAAGGCGGTTTTGGGTTTTGCTTTGTTCTTTTGGTTTTGCTACTTAGAATAGTTAGATTTTAACCCATTTTTCAATCAATATTTGTGTACACTTAGAGGAAGAGGAGGGGTGGCTTTGTGCTGTCATCTAGGATTAAACATCACTCAACCGAGTCCCGTGTCTGATTCGTCTCGTTCACCTGTTCCAAGTTTTGACCGCTAATCATCCCTAAGTTTTTTCTTTCTTTCTTTCTTTCTTTTTTTTTTTTTTTTAACTCAACAGTACTTACCTTCATTAAAACATCACTCCTGTTTTGTGGCTTCTTTTTCTGACTTGTATCCCTCTTTGATGTAATAACTCCACGGCTGTAAGCTTCTTGAAGGCAGGAGGATATACAGTGTTACACTGTATTCTTTTGTATTTATCCATTCCACCGCCAGTATCACAGTAGCTTTTACATTGGACATGTTTATTTGTTGCTCTAGAATGAAGAAAACAAGATTAAAACGAAAATTAGTATTGTTTGGGGGGGCAAAGCAAAGTGTTTATATAGTCTGGTGTATTAATCAAATTAACTTTTGATGTGTTTACTTTTCCCAAATAATTGTGAAATCAACGTAAAACGAACCATTTTAAAGTGAATAATCCAGTGGCATTTAGTAGAAGGTTTACATTTTGTACTTTGGAGACATTTTTTTCCTGCCAGCAGGGGTGGTGGTGGTGCTTGCCTGTAATCCCAGTGACTAGGGACACTGAGGGCAGAGGATCCCAAGTTCAAGGCCAGCCTCTGCAATTTCTTGAGCTACTGTCTCAAATCTGTAGGGCTAGGGAGTGTGGTTCAGAGAACCCCTCCTGTTTTCTGTATTCCAGAGCTGGGTCGTGGGGGGGGGGTGGGGGCAAAAACTGGCTTGTGAATCCTCTGATTCTGTAAGCACTCAGTTTTAGCTATGTTATTTATTTTGCAAGGGTGCTGAATTGTTCTATTCTTCCAAAAAAGCCATTTACTTTCTCTAATATTTTACAGCTTGCTTTGCTACATAATGTGTGCATTCTATGTTGTAAATCTAAATGTAGGTGAGGATGTATAATGTATAAGGCAAGGTCCTTGGATGCTTTTAGAAATTATGGTATGTCAATCCAATGTAATCCCAAATTGATTGGCATTGCTTCAGCTTCCACTTGCCTGTTTTTCTTCTAACAATAATGCATCCATGGTAGAAAATATAGAAAGAGCATTAAAAAACCCTAAATTATAGAGATAATCCTGATATTTTAAAGTGTTTTTAATCTTTGTGCATAAAATATTTGCACAAATGTAGCATTTAAGTGTAGTATCTATTTTGTTTTAATAGGTTCCTAAAGATTTCACTGATGATTTGCCACTTTTTTAGTAGTTTATCCCATTATTTGAAAAGGGAGCATCATGAAGTTCTTTGCATTAAAAGAATATTTTATTTGGAACCAGGGCACTGCACCACTGAGCCACATCTCCAGCCCTTTTTAAAAATTTTTACTTTGAGACAGGATCTCACTAAGTTGCTTAGGACTTTGCTAAATTACTGAGGCTGGCTTTGAACTTGCAATCCTCCTGCCTCAGACTCCTGAACTGCTGCGAGAATAATATTTTAATACATTTCACCTTTTAAAAGCTTCACCTAATTGATAGTGATAGGTTTTTGGATAACAAGCAGAATTAATCAGAGCTGAAACTACTGAGCTGTAATTTTAGTTTCCTCAATAAATTTACATATTAAGCACTGGTAAATAGAAGGTAGCTGGATAATTTAAACTTGGTAAAAATGATTTGGGAAAAACAAATATTAAATCTCCTTGTTTTAGAGTTTGTTTTAAACTAGAAAGCTAATGTACTTTGACCTATTGCCACTAAAATACACAGTCTTCTCTCAACCCCACCTGGAAGAGTATAAACACACCCAGTTCAGCAATTTATTTTTCACAAGCAGAAGTTATTGTTTAAATTTGTCCTGGAGCTGGGCATGAGCCCCACCTGTAATCCCAGCAATTTGGGAGGTTGAAGTAGGAGAATTACAAACTTGAGGCCAGCCTCAGCAACTTAATGAGATCTGTCTCAAAAAAAGGGCTGAGGATGGAGCTCAGTGGTAAATTGCCACTGGGGTATGGCATCTACTATTCCCCCCCTAAAAAAATAAGACAATTTGTTGTAGGTACTTTAATAAATTAATGAAGAGAATTTGGCTAGTGATTTATTAAAAAATTGAGGGACTAGGGTATAGCTCAGTGGTAGAGTGTGTACTCAGCATATGGGAGGCCCTGAGTTCAGCCCTCAGTATCAGTACTACCACCTCCATTATCACCACCATCACCACCACCAACAAAAAAAAACACACAAAAAAAGGGAGGACATTTTCCACAATGGTCCTGCCCTGATTCTGGAATTTGGAAAGGAACAGAGGGTTAGTGGAGAGCTCTTCATTATTTTGGTCCATACTGAAGATGCTTTCCTTTTCCCTATCTGGCATTAAGCTGTTTAATTCCATAATATTAGAACTAAGTACCCCTGGTTTTTGCCCACTTTTACAGTCTGACTCTGATGTTACAATTCACAGTCTGTTACTTGCTGTGATCTTTCGAAGAGCTATCCCTTAGATCTGACGCGTCCAGTACTGTAGGCACTAGACTACCTGTGGCTCTTAAACATTTGAAAGTGGCTAATGTTGTATGTGTGAAATATATAACAACAGATTTTTAGATTTAGTATGAAAAAATACACCTCAGTATCTAAAATATTTATTACATGTTGGCTTGATTTAGATAAAATATATTATTACAATTAATTTCACCTATTTCTATTCCCCCCCAGCACTGGGGATTGAACCCATGGTTGCTCTACCACTGCGCTACATCCCCAGCCCTCTTCAATTTTTGCCACAGGGTCTCACAGAGTTGCTAAGGCTGGTTTCAAACTTGTGATCCTCCTGCATCAGCCTCTCGAGTCCCTGGGATAGGTGTGCACCACCATGCCTGGCAGAAGTGAATTCATTAAGACATTAGAAATAGTTTCAGATATCTTTTTCTTCTGAAAAAAAAATTTTTTTAAATGACTTACAAAGGATAGAATTTTATTTAACTAATTGTTCCTGAGGCTGGAAGTGTAAGAGCGCGGTGCTGGCTCCTGGTGAGGGCCTTCTTGCTATATCCCAACATGGGAGAGGGTATCACATGGCAAGACCAAAAATTCTTTTAAAAAGCAAATCCTACCATTCCTTGAAGATTTTTGAAGGCAGTTTGTTAGGGGTTATTTTCAGTGTTGCAACAACCATGATTATAGGCACTCGTAATATAATGTTCTTCTGGTAGGGGAATAGCTATAATTCCTTTGACTAACTATTGCTTTGTGTTTGACTAATTTTTGAAGTATCCTTTCCAAGGCACCTGTTTGTTTATATTTAGTTCTTAACATGTGACATATCATGATAGAAATGTTCAATTTTACAAATGAGAAAAAGATGACAGAAGTTTAGTGAATTAGACAAGAGTGGGGAGATAGCCAATAGGAACAAAGGGCTGGGTTCTCAGTCTCAAGCAATGGTACATGTATTAATGAGGTTTCAATCTCTTTGTCTTTATTTGTTCATCTCTTCCTTTATTCCATTGAAGTTGATGAGTTCAAAATTACTCTGTATTATTTATTTATACAGTGATGGGACTAAATTCAAGGCCTGGACAAACCAGCCAAGCACTTGACCACTGGACTGTTACCCCCACACCTGCCCCTGGATTTTGAAAACAGATTTTTTTTTTTTGGTACTGGGGATTGAACCCAAGGCTTAGAGCACACTAAGCACACTATATCACTGAGTTACATCCTTAGCCATCCAGTCTCTGGATTTTAAATAGTTCATCATTTGATAAATGTAAGAACTTACAAAGAGTAATGTTTAAGACACTTGTTTATGTGACATGCAGGTTATCTCAAGTATCTTAAACCTGCTGAAG